ACATGTCAGAATTACTTTTGAAAACAGAACGTATGGTCTTACATCGAGTTCTGAATATATCGTCTTTTGGCAGTTCCTGGAATGAAGTGAAGGAACTGATTTGCAAGTTTAAGATTTGCGGGGTAATTCACAAAACAATATAGAAGGAAAAATGGCTGGATTCATTTGTATAACAATCTTTGCTATGTATTTGTCAGGGAGAAGTTTGCACAGTACTTGATGTAGTGCATTCTAAATAGTTGTGAAGGATATGAACCGTATCCTTGACTGTGCAATGAAGCAACAGGTATCTGAAATGACCTAATTCCAGGGTGTCATGAAATGATAGTGTGGTGGGGTTTATTGGCAGAGGAAGGATATGATATTACCGCTACCTACAATGTGTATTTGCCAGCCTCTTTAGACCATAACACTACAACATCACTACACGGAAATGATGAGCCTAGCACAGGAGAAGAGGTTCTTATAGCTTTCTGTCCTTGGCAACAGCTTCAGAAATACATGATCAGTTACTAGGTTATGGGAAGACTGAATTATTTCCTAATATTGATTTCCTAAGCTGGGGAACAGAAAGAAGCATGTATGTAGAAAGAGAACAGGCAACCAAGGGTTGTTCTTTAGTGTGGTTTATTGAAGAGAGCATGTGTGAATTACAGTGAAATTCAAACTTTGTTATAGTTTCAAATAAAAAAATCCTGTCCTAGGATCCTGTCCACCACAAGACCATTGGCAATTTTTTTGAATGCTAAGAAAACTACTTTTGTAATGATTTTAAAAGCTACAAAACAAAATCAGTGCTTTTCAATTAAGTGTTTTATTTACAGCATCTGCTTTAAGAAAATATTTCAGATGACAAAAGAACTGAAGCCTGAGTCTTGTCTCAGCATTAGCCAAATGCAGGTCTAGCCAGGGTGTTTGGATCATCTCATTCAAGGCTACTGCATACTGCTGTGCACTGATCCTCACTGCTAACAGTTCAGCTCCGTCACATCACCAGTTCTCCACATGTGGAGTCAGAACACAGAAGCACTGTACATGGACCTGTGACGGATGCCCTCCACTTCTGTGGGGCAGAAGTGGTGGCTTTTGTAGGCTCTTCCCTGCCAGCCTCATGGGTAGAAAGCTGAGATTGTGTCTACCTGCGTTAGTGCCATCTCCTGGACAAGCATGAGAGAAAACATCTGTGAAACCTGATTGGAACCAGATACATATATTATGTAAAATGTATCTGTTTCCTTTTGCAAAAGGGGCCTGTTTCTTATCCACAACACAGAAGTGTTTATCTTCACCACTTAAAGTTTAGGGGTTGGTCATTTTTCTGGGTGAAACGGAAAGTATTAGGCAGGTAGTGTTTCAAGGTAATGGGAAAGCAAGTTTCTCCTTTAACAATATTTACAGCCTTGTGACTCTGCAAACTTCACACAGGTCCCCTTGTTCCTGCAGTTAAAGTCAAGAGACATGAAATAAAGAGTGACCCAACTCCCCTGGGGTTTGAAGGTATGAGTATTTCCATCCTGCATGAAAACCTGTTTGGCAATCTTTTGATACTATTCACTGAATTCACAACTCATCACTGCTGGCAGATGACACTGGAGTCCATTAGGGGTTTCGTGTCAGTTTATCTGTTTAACTGTGATAAACACAGTTTGTTACCCCCTTGCCTGCCCCCTGCACGCATGTTACATTTGCCAACTTTCACCTAGGTATGGGCCTAAATTAAAACCCCAATTCTCTGCCTGTTTTGGGAAGTAATGCTCTAGAGTGTGATCGGGATCTTGATTTTCTGCCTGGCTTCTACCTCACTCTGTTGAGTGCAGCAGCAGGGAGCCAAGGGGCTACTTTTCAGCTGCAGTCTGGCTGCTTGCATCCCTCTTCCCTTGTTAGTGTCTATACCTAATAAGAGGAGCAGGAGCCGTGTGCATGGAGACTACAGAAATGGCTAGACTGTGCATTAATGTCCATTTAAGGTGCAGTGTTTCATTTCAGCCAAGCAGAATTTCCACCTGTTTGTTGCAGCAGATTCCTCAATTATTGTTTAATAAACAACACCAAAGAATTAAACTGGAATATCCCAGCCACTGGAAGAGCACTAGCTTCCATTGTCAGCTTTTCCCTTTACAAGAGGATTTGCCAGAACATGTTGCCTTGTGGGGCACAAGCAGTGCCCTTGTTGCAGGACAGGGAGGAGAGAGATGTAAGCTGAGGAGAGGAATCCTTTCTTAGGATTGTGTTGCTCTGTACAAAACCTTGGTAGAACGGACAGGTGGCCAGGTCAGTGATGGAATTGGTGACATATTGGAGCTATCTCCTGTGTCACTCCCAGTAGAAGACGACACTGGAACAGAGAGGTTGAAAGAAACAGTTCAGAGGCAGTAGAGGAAATAGTGGGTTTGCTGTTTGCAGAATATTTCCTCTTGCTGGTGACCCCTGGCACTAAGTTTGGAATCATCCTGGCACCCACCACCAGAGTTTCCCAAACTGTGGTGTTTATACCTCACTTTCCTCAATGGCAGATACTTCTGGCCTCAGTGTACCATGTGGCTGCAGAGGCAGGGGTATTTCAAGGTGCAAGTACTACCCGTAGGATTGAGCTGAGTTGATCATCACTGGTTAAAACCATGGTCCTACTGTACAGCATTCCTCACCAGACTGAGTTTTAAAGAACTTTTCCTTAACGAGTAGAAAACAATGATCATTGTCATCCCTTTACCAGAAGATATTGCTGCTATTGCCAGAGCTCTGACAGAGTTAACACAAAGGATTTGATTTACTTAGATAAAAACTTCCCCCACAAAATTGCATTGTATTCATCAAGAGTGAGATCATTCATTTCTGGCTGGGAAGAAGACCCTCTCTGGTCCCCTTTCATTGCTGTATGGATGGGCATCAAAATCATGTACTGTCACCTACAGCATGATTTGAAATGCCGCAATGAAAATATGTTAAAAATATGCAAGGAAGCTGTAGTGAAATAGAACACTGCACTGTTCACCCAGCAATCGTTTTCCTTAATTAACATCAACATTGGGCTGTTCTCTGTCCTTCTCAGACTTACAGTTTTTCTGTGGAATGCTGCTGTCTTTTCACTCATTTGTGCTGGTCATGTGTCTCCTCTTTTATAACTGTTGGGCCCCGGTCCATCTGTTTGTTAAAGAGACTATCAGTTGCAGAGGTGATACAGGAATTCACTTTGTACTGGTTGTCTGGTCACTGTTTCACCTTGAAGACACAAAATTGTACTTCCTGTCACAGATGCTTTTGAGAACACCATATTGGCCCAGACTAAATGTAATACCGGTTCCACCACGAGACCTGTACCTAGATCTGCTTCACAGACAGGTAAACAAAATTCAAACATTTATCATCTCAATTTGAGAGTGTAATATAAATTTTTGATAATATTTACTCTCTTTAACTTAAAGAGATTTTTTTCCTTTTAATGAATATTATTTCCTGTGAAAGCAATGAAAGAACAAGCTCAGATCACTAGCAGGTATAGAAAAAATGTCCCAGATTCTGGTTTTCTGTAGGTCAGGCACAGCTGAAAACAATTCTGTTAATTGATGCCAGAGAGCTCAGAATTTGATCTGTGTTATTTTATAGCTTGAGTTAAGTACATAAAGCTTAGGCTATTTCTTAATCTCTGAAATTAGAATAGCAATTTGTATGGAAGAGGAAGGCTGATGCATGTATTTGTAAGGAATCCTTGCTGTTTAGGTTTCTGCTTTGGATGGTTTTGACAAATGACAGTGGCAAAAGAACACTGAAGCTTTGTCTAAGTGGGAAGGGGGGGTACCTTTTTATTTTGCTGTTTGTAGCCCAACCTGTGAATTTGAACTAAAATTGCTATAGCAGTTTGAAGCTAATTAGCATCAATATATTCTTGTACATTTAGACAGTTGCTAGTATTTTGCTGGTGTGATTCAACTGATACAGAATATGGGGTCCGGTTCTATATGCTGCATAGTCTGCGATTGAAATTGTCTCTTCAGTCTCAAAACTCCGCTGGTATAGACCTTGGCAGGGACACTCACAACCCAGCACATGAACGCCACTTCAGAGGCTAGTTTACACCTTGAAAAGTATGGATGACCTAACCCTACCTGTAGAGTTATAACCTGGGATGCTGCTCTGGTGGAAGACCAGAAGGAGGACATGCATGGGGAGGGATTAAATAAATTGATTAATAAACCTATTTCTCCCAGATCAGATCACTTTTCTGTTTACTGCCTGAACTGCCTGGCTTGGGTTTTGTATTGTCTGAGGCCAGGTTTTGCTGTGGGTTGTGAGTGCTGGGTTATGCATAACCCTACTGCGTGAGCATCTGTCTCTGTGCCTTGTTGTCAGAGCACTGCTTTGCCTTGTCGAGAGCAATGGCCCACAGGCTGTAAAGAACTTGATTCAGCATCTGCTCAGCTCATGTTCCTGTGAATCAGCTAATGTATAGCAGGTACATTAAGTAGGAAGGCACACGGTGATTTGACTGACTCCATTCAGCTTGTGTCTGTCAGGGCTGCAGAATCCCTTGATTCTGGATGCAAGGTCTACTTCCTCCTAGCTGGACTGTAGTCAGTCCTGTCAGAAAAGGGACAGGCATCAAGTGTGAAGGGAAGTGTAGATCATGATTGCCATCTGCACAGAAGAGGCTGAGTTACTTTTGAATCATGGGAGCCTCAGGCGGGCAGGTCTTATAAGGCTCAGCCTGAATTTCCCTCAGGACACATCCTCTGGGCATGCCCTTGTAGGTAAAGAGACTGGCCAGTGTGCTTGGGCTGGAAACCTCTCATGAAGTCCCTTCCACTGGGCTGGGATGGTTTTGGGTGCAAATTATGCAATAAGGCTGCTAACAGCAGAAACACTAGTGAGATCTTCTCTACCTACCACCAAGGTCTGGTTGTCTTTGTGCCTTGTTGTTTACTCTGTCCCTTCCCTGCACTTCCAGCCTGCTCCAGGGTATAGTCTTGTCAGTTGCTCGGGTGGTAATATCACCCTGGGGTGAGATGGAGGTAAGAAGTCAATGAAAATTCAATGGCTTCGGACTTCAATTTATACATAAACATGTGGAGGTAAGCTGGAAACCGAATGAGCATGGTTTTCTGAAAATCACGTCAGCAAAGGTAATCATTTGCTACAGCGCTCGGTCCGCAGAAATATTCCTCGTCCTTGCTTTTTGTACCTCCTGAACTGAAGAGATTTAGCAATGCTAAACACTCGAGGTATTGATGGGCATGCACACTGTGGCCACACAATCTGCCCTCCCACAAATGACAGCAAGTGGTACAGGTTTTCTGAGACAGAATAATGGCTGCAACATAATTTTTATGGCAAAATCAGAACAAGCTGTAAAACAGGTACAAGCAATTCAGTAAGTGGAATAGTGGGAGGTGAACATGTGACATTTATTTTTAAAAGACTGAGTCCGAAGGAAGCTAATGACTGATAGCTAACTCTTTTTGTTTTATCTCCTTTTAAAAGGTTGGCCCAGCAGGCAAATGCCATCTCTAGATACATTTGAAGATTTTGAAGCCATCCCCTCCAGCACAGATGAACTCTCCAACTCTTCTGACTTGGAGGAAGAGACCAACCCTAACAATGTGATTCCTTTTTCAAATTATGCTGCCGTTTCTCAGCACAGCCTCCTCTTCTCTAAAGATCATGATTTAACCTGCAAAGTTTGGGTTCATACCAGCCTTAAATTCATGGATGTGTGGGAATAGAGGATGGGAATTTGATCTGGGGTGTTGGGAGATTATTCCAAGACTATTTTCCTGATCAGGATCAGGACCATAAAAAGTCACCCTTACCTGTAAGCTGTAGCTTCACCTGTTACAAAAGTGAGGGAATACTCTGAGCCTTTAAAAAAGTAATTTCAGACTTTTTGAGATAATTTAACCTGGTGTCACAAACCCAATTTCTATATCAGAATAATGGCTGGCTGGTTAATTCTAAAGCCTGAATGCACAGCACAGTTCTGTCCTAAGTTTGAATAATATTTAACCTGCGCATGATAAAAGGAATAAAAAGTGACACAATTCCCTACAGAAGAAATGTTTGCCAGCTTGAAATGCCTAATTCAGTATTTAACTACACTCTCTCTTGCACAGTGTTCTTTCGTCCATAGTGACTGTATTTCTGGTGCATTGTTTCATTCATTTTAGGGGACCAATCTTTTTCGGGTAGAAGGCAGTTTTGACAGCTGTTTCCCGGATTCTCTTACACTTGAGGATGGAGATTTAGTGCAGTTTTTGCGGGAAGGAGAGAACGGTCAATGGTAAGTACAGCAGAGAGACAGAATTTTACAGGTAAAACAGCCATAACCTCCTGGAAAAGATGGAAAATATTCAGAAGAATGTCAAAGCCTCTTCAAAAATCAATCCAAATCCACTCACCCTATTGACCACAATGTAAAAAAGGTAGTGGGAGGCATGAACGTACAAGCAGTTTTGGTTAATTCCACCTGGTTGGCTTTCATCCCAAATGCTTGTGACATGAGGCTTAAGAGGACAGAAGTTTGCATAAAGGAAAGAGGGGAATATTTGGGCTTTTGACATCTTCTAGCCAGAAGGACAACTGTCAAAGGCAGCATCCTCCCATAGGACACATCAATAAAATCCCCATGCCTTCCACTGAGCTGCAGCAGTGAATCAGAGAGCATTTTTAGCCCCAAAGGTTTAGATACAAGATTGACAAAGTGGAATGAATCTGGCCCCCTTGAGCTCATATTCAGTGTATTTATTCTCTCTTGCTGACAAGTAAGTGTTAGGAACAGACCTGACTGGGCATCTGAATTCTCTTTCCATGGGTAATTTGGAGGAAGAAGATCTGATCCCGTTGAGGTGCCTGTACAGTCAGACCCTTCACTCAGAACTGACATGCAGCTGAGATGGGAGCAAGTCCCACAGGGTGAAGTAGGTGGGACATGGATTCAAACCATCCACCCTGGATGATATTAACAGCAAGGGGGATGGACAACATGAGAGGTTCAGTTTCTTCAGCTCTGAATTTGGCCCAGGATCTCAAACACATGCCAAGGCCACTGCTTGCTTGTCACACGGTCTGTTTGCGAGTGGGCTTGTTCTGGGATACTGGGTCACCATCTGACACTGCTGAAATGTAGTCACCAGCTACCTGTAGGACTTCCCTGGCTCCTCTGCCTACTTCCTTAGTTTAGGAAATAGCTGCCCAACATACACCTCTAAGAAACACAACCCAGGTAAACGGAATGTAGGTAAATTCACTGACTGTTCTCTGAATTTCAGGTTAGTGAAGAAACTGGTTTCTGAGAAAAGCGACTGGGTTCCTTCCAGTATATTGCAGCCAGCAGAGGGGGACAGTAACAACATAATTAAGAACAGCAATGCAGGTAATAGATGAAATGTGTTACTGGCATTTTTTTTTTTCCCTACTAAAAAAAGATGTGATCGAAAAAGGATGCGACAAACAGCACACTTTCTATATTGAAGTATTTGGCCTGAGTGCATGTGCTGCAGTCTCTGGTGACACAGCTGAGCTAGCCTGAAATTTGGTGCCTTGGGTGTCAGAGCTAGTCAGGCACAGCAGCTTACCTTAGGATGGTTTAATTGTTTTCCCCTTCCCAGGCAGAATTTGAATCTCCCACCAAACTCCTGTGGCTACCAATACCCAGGCTGGCTACTCTACAGCTAGCCCAAGTGTGTCATATGGCAAGGTGTGTTGTAACTGCAGGATAGCTTTCATCCTGACACAGGTAGCGTTCGGATTTAGATCAGCATTAGGGCTGTGGTTCTGGTCTAGGTTTGAAAACATTAACATCTCATGAACCATTACCGCTTTCATCATATTTCACTGCTGGCTCCAAAGGCTGGAGGAAGGGCTGCTCTGGCGAGATTTCAGACAAATCCGCACTAAAAGTCATCCTTTCTTCAGCTTTGGTTCTGATCTAACACCCAAACAGGTCGCACTGGAAAAGCTGAATCTCAGCAACTCTGCAGATCAAAGGTTTACAATTTTAGATTAATTTTTGCCCATCCTTAAATATAATTTAGCAAAATGTGTCCTGCTTTTCTTCTGGTAACAGAAGAAAGCAAAATCTGTCACAGCCATTCCCTGGGGACCTGCGATAGAGAGCTACCAGCATTTTATTCTGAGTTACTGGTTTCTTTTGATTTTTCTTTGTTAAAGTGGAGAAACCCCTTTTTGAAAGCTAACCAGGATTCCTTGCTGTGGTTTAAAGGGAGTTTGGTAATTGCTGCTCCTTCACCTCCACAGCAGGTCAGTTCTGTCTTCACCCTCAGTGCCTAAGTGTGGCTCTCATTTCTTTGGCATGTCTAATGCTTCAAAAGAAAAATAAAGCCGCACACACATTACAGTCAGTTACATACCAAAAGAGCCTCCCTTGCCTTTAGTGAAGGAATTAGGAGAGCAGTAGAATTGTGATTATTTATTTTTTATTTCAGGCTTTTAACAATGAACCTCAAGATTGTAGATGGGAAATCCTTTAGATGTGTTGTAGTGACAATGCCCATGTCCTCCTTTTCAGACATGTACAACGATTCCTGCAGCACGGCCTCAGTAGAGTCAGACACCAAGGAGAGCGAGGTGGCCAAAAGCTTCCCAGCAGAACAGAGGGCTGGCAGCTGAACAGCAGGACCAGCCCTCCTCAGGACCCCATCCATCTCTTTGTTTATTTTGGGTGGACACTGGATCAAAGTTGCCTTTCTCACAAGCTCTGAGGTTCATAATTCACTAAAACTTTATCAGCATGAACAGATGAGAATTGTGCTGTCCACCTGTCAAGCTGGGAAAAACAAACTTGAAAGGAGCATTAAACATCCAGAAAGCATCAAAACCCACCTTCAGTATTAGAGGAGAAAAATGCTTCTCGCATTGATTATCAAACTGTTTCAGAAGACGTGGCCTAAATTAGGTCGACAGCAGAGCTGAAGAGTTACTATGCACGCACCTTTTGGCAACCTTGCTTGAACACCGAGTTACTGCAGGGGGACACATGCACAGTTACAAGTTGTTGCTCTACCATGGGGTCGCCTGGAGGTTTTTCCATTTGCTTGCCTCTGGCTGTGCCTTCCCCGTCCTCCTTAATTCCAGCTGATACATCACAAATGTGCCCTTTTTGCTGGTGGTCAACACCAAAAACATCCCATTTTAGGATGGCTGTGGAAAGGAGACTTCTGACTTGGACCATCAGAGTGGCTTCGCACAGCAATGATGTGACTACATTTGCAATGGCACAGTGAACGACCTGCTGCATATAGCATAAGTTGGGATGATGGTAGCAGCTCCTGGCAATGAGGTGGAGGTGCAGGGCTTAGCAGGGAAGCAAAGATGCGTGACAGCTACTGTGACAAAGAACATTTTGAACTCTTTTTACAATATAAGTCATTCCACTGCCCCCTCTGCAGTCTGTGGTTGCTGGATCACAATCCTTTGCATTTGGTGCCGAGAATTCAATTGAATGCCATTTAATGTCATATGTTTGAGTAGACTGCATGCTTTCTTTGTGTGCTGGGCTATGGAGTAGATACATTTCATCCCCCATTTGGAATATACTTAAGCATTGCAAATAGGCAGTGAGCATTAGATGCTCCAATGAGTGGATAAAGTGTTGTGTTAAATACTTCTTTCCAGGACATTTGATTAAAGGACTGTACCAAATCTCTGCCACATAAGGATATAATGTATAATATAAAGTGATTACAGATGTTATTATTCCTATACAAGCCATTAGCTCATTTAGAGCAGCTGTTAAAGCACGAAGGCATTTTGATGGTAATTGGGTCTTAGGTCCCACTAAAGCTGCTACTTTAGTAAAGATAGGTATTGACTAAGGGTTGCAAACAGGCAAAGATCAGCCTGGTAAAAAATTACCCTAGAAGCTCAAGAGTGAGTGACTGGCTTTCACTATTAGGGATTTTTTGTTTAATCCTGAGACTAGTGGTGCTTTATGTAAATAACAAAGGGGCCAAAAGCACTAAAGATGGAGATGAAGCAAAACCAAACCCCACTCTTTAGTAACTGAGCCTCTGAGCAAAATGGTAGGAGTCTGTATCATTTCTGTTATCGTCTTTGCAGGGACCCAAATGCTTTTCTTTGTGTCTCAGTGGAGGCTGGCATTGCAATTATCTTAGTGTGTGAGTAAGGATAGCTGTGAAGCAGGTAGATAGTCCCATTCAAGAAAAACCCTTGGAGTAGGTAAAGGCTTAATGAGATTTTATTTGCCTATGAAGGCTTATTGGTTAATTATGAGTTGCACTGTGGTGGTTAATTCCCATGGTTCTTCTAACCCTCAATATGTAAAATCTGTGATTTCTGGCTTTTTCCATTCATGACTAAAGGACCTAAGAGTTCTGTACCTTTTTGGAAGCTAATTTTGTCCTACAGAGATAAGAGTTTGTCTGTTTTGTGCTGGTCATTTACCTTAAAATGACACATAGGCTCTCAGGAACATGAATCCTGTTAGTCAACTGTAGTTATGAGCATCTTGAACGAAGAATTGATTCCTTTCAGTCCCCTAAGGAAATATGCAGTGACATTTTCTTGTAGTGCGATTATTTTATCCTCTCCTTAAAATGAATTCATTTTGGTTTCTGTATTACTTTCAGAAATTTTTGCACGCCTGATAACAGTGCTTCTGTCTACCCCTGCCCTAAGCATAGGAGAGGAAAGGGGTAGGGAGCTTTGATTGCACATTAATAAATATAGTAAGCTTTTGTGTGTGTGTGAGAGAGAGAGAGATAGGGAAGGGTTACCCTAGGTATATGAAACTGCCAAAACTAGGATTTGTGACATTGCTGACAGATGGAAAGATGCAAACCTGCACTTTGGCGTTTCTCTGGAGGAATCTCATTCTAACCGTGAAATGGCAGTGTGAAGTCTGTTTGAACTGAAGATGGAAAATCAGGTATTGTCAGTCCATTTCCTACCTCTGCTGCGTGCAGGGTGACAGTGTGCTTGTCCTATATCCCCTGGTGCCTCGATATCTTCCTGTAAAATGGGAGCTATTGGATTTCCCATGTGTCCAATTCTGATGCTAAATCTTAGCATGTATGCAAAAATCGGGGACCCTCCAGGGGAGAGCAAAGCATTCAACCCCAAATGTCCCACTGTGCCCTCCATGAGTGTCAGTGGTGGCATGCTGCAGGGCAGTCTAGAGCTGGAGCAGGGAAGAGGATTGCTGCAGAAGTGTCTCCTCTCCCAGCTCACCATCTCATCATGACAACTGCAAAGGTATGGGCTGCATTATAACAATTCTCCTCCCTACTTTGCTTTTGTAAACATTTTTTTTTTTCCAAATCTCATGTTGTATCCTGTTGGACCAAAGTTCGAGTCACTCCTGCACCTCGAATGTCCTGAGGATGGCAAGTAACTCACTGCCCCGTGGCTGTGTGCAGCAGTGGCACAGCACTCTGGTCTCAGCAGTCTTTGGGAGCTGGCTGTATCACAGCTATCCTCGGACACTACTGAACCTGAGCAGGGGCCCCACAACCATTAGTTGTGTCTTTAACCTTCCTGCAGTGCCGGCGAGCCAAAGGCAGCTGCCTGTTTCTGTCTCCACATTCCAAGCTCAGACCATTCTGCAAACGTTGCAGCTGCTGCTGGGGAGTAACTGGGGCCTTTTGCCTGGTTGACGCCTGCGGTGCAAATGGAAGTGAGACAGTGCCACGCTGCTGGGTTTGCTTTTTTAAAGAATGAAGTTCAATGACAGATCAGGCTGCTGACATGTCTGAGAGCAGCCAACAAGAAGCAACCTTCTGGATTTGCTGATGAGACAAAATGGGCTTTGATGACTTTTTTTATAAAGGTAGACAGGACAGTCTTTTAGTTAGTGTATTTCTGTCAAGCAAGGTGATAAATAAGGGAATGACTCTCCATGTACAGTCTAGAATATGATTTGGTAATGTCCAGCAAGACTAATGTGTACATTAAGGTATACCTATTCTGTATGTAGGTCTTTGACACCATCATTTTCAGGTAGATGGACCTAAAAATCATAGTTTTTAAATATGGATTTCATTTCAGTGTTATTTGGAGATGACATAGTGACCAGAAAGTGATTTAAAAGTAATGGTTGCCACTAAGTTTCAGTTGTAGAAGAGATAAGGTCCAAGGTAAATCTATGCTGTAGCAGCACTCGTGGTTGAGCATTGTGTCCTGGCTGCTTGACCAGTGAGTCCGTGCCAGCTGCCTGGCTGTTCCCTCCGGGTCCGGACTAGCGAGACCTGCCCTCCAGGCTGAGGTTTTGACTTGGATCTCCTCCCTCTGCTCTGCTGCCAGCTTCTGTGAACCTTGTAGAAACTTCACGTCCTCGAAACTCTGCCCTCTGCTCAGTCGGGTGTAGTTGGGCAACAGCCTCCTTCCTTACTGGCA